GTTTCCGGTTCGATTCAGTGACTTTTATTTATATCATTAGATTCCTCGTTCTTTTCTCTTTCTAGCGCCATAAGGCGCTTTGTTAAAAGGAGGTGTGGTACAGGAGATATGACAAATAGAAAAGAGAGTTGCAGCGCGCGCGGGCGCCGCCCCGGCCCAGCGGCGCGGCCGAGACAGTGTGTCAGCCCAGCCGTAGGGAGTTTCTACCGGCTGCTTGTGTTGAGAAATATACCCTCAGGTTCTAAGCCTACAGTGGCTCAGAAACTAATTTAATTCACGAATGTCCCAAAAATGCATTTTTGGGGGGTTAAAGCCCCCTTCATAGACAACTATTACCAACTATTACGTCTCTATTACCTCTATTACCTGTCTATTACCTCTTTCACCTTTCTATTACGTCTATTACCTGACTATTACCTCTATTACCGAACTATTACCGGACGGGCGACCCGACTATTACCTGAGTGGATACCCCCTCGTATTTCACGATTTAGACTGTGGGCTACTATTGCGTGGCTGTTGGCAGTATGTGCCCTTGACAGTGCCCCTCTCTCTCTTCCATAGTTATGTACACTTGTCAAAACATTTAGCGCTCTGAAATTAAAATTACTTGCGATGCAGGTAGGAACGTGAAATTTGGCATGATTCACTTCTTCGGTGTGTAGTTAACCCTCTGTTGGCGAGAATGTGCTCGCCAACGCATGATTTTGACAGTGTCGTCACTCGCCTGGTTCGGACGACCCTGCAGCTTGTTTGCGCGTTCCAGCAGCCGCTGGAACATTTCTAATCAGGCAGGTCAAGGGTTGGTCAGCGCGGCTGCTGCCACGCTGGTGCGCACTCTGACCTGCAGGGCCGCGTACGCGCCGGCCGGCCGTCGCGGGACTTTCCCCGGTGCCGGGCGGGGCACGGTGGGGGCAGGGCGGTACGACAAGGGATGAGTGACTGGGGAAAGATGGCACCCGTGGCGGAGCGGGTCAGCAGAGCGCTCTGGCCCGGGTCACGTCGAGATAGACGTTGAAGTGAAGTTGAGTAGGAAAGACGTTTGGAGAAGGTTGAAGAGGAGAGACGTTTGGGAGAGTTAAGTAAAGTTGAAGAGTAGAGACGTGCGGTAGAGTCGAGTTTGTTTGTTAGAGCCCGAAGAGTAGAGTCACTTGTGAGAGAGGCTTAAAGGTTTTAGTGTGCTAAGGTGTAAGCTGTGGTTCGGTCGTATGATTGAATGATTTAACCCTTCGGTCATTTTGTAAGTTGCTTTGTGTTTGAATAATTATCTTCTTGTATTTAACCTTGAGTTATATCATTTCGCATTCACTCGGACACCTAAAGTTAGAGCTAAGCTCATTCATTCAAAATTACACAGCCAACACAGACACACAGGTTGTTGGCGGAAGTGCCCTTCACCTATCTATCTAGCTTAACCCCGCCAACACCTCTCTGAACGCGAAGTTCGTGCGCCACCCCGTACGCCGTACGCAACCCGTAACGCACACGGGAGTAGAGGAGTCGTACAAAACGTAAAGGTTTCGGGTGGAAAAGGTTGCCGGAAGTTGTTCAAAGTTGGTGCACGGGTGCCCTAGGACCCCATTTCAACACTTTGGGTGCGTTTAACCTCCTCTGAGATACCACCCCTACCCCCAGTTCACCCCATCCCCATCCCCTGTAAAAAACCTACTAACTAAATGCTTTGCCACATTACGAACAATTTTCGTTCTTTGTATTGCAAAGAAATTGTTTCGTATTGCAAAGCGATTGTTTGTCAGGCTACACTGCTAAAACAAAGGCGTTAAACAACGCCTTTAAAGGGCACTATGAAAGTTTGCCGCCTTAGGAAAGGCACTAAGGTTTAACGCATCAGGAAAGGCGCTAAATTATTGGGGGAGTTCAGAGGTTAGCGCCTTTGATAATTCTCGCTCTATATAATTTATTATTTTAAAAATTGAATCCGTATTTATGTTTATATTGTCAGGATTTGACATGACATAATTTTTAAAATAATAGATTATATGGAGCGATAATTATCCTAGGCGCTTACCTCTGAACTCCCCCAATAATTTAGCGCCTTTCTTGAGGCGCTAAGGTTTAGCACCCCAGGAAAGGCGTGAAAATGAGGCTTTGATTTTAGCGCCCCAGGAAAGGCATTGTACAGCGCCTTTGTTTTACCAGTGTAGATAGGTTCTTTCGAACAATCGGTTTGGATTACGAACTATTTTTTCGTAATCTTACCAACAATCACTGTGAAAAATAGTAGGTAGGCTTACAGGAAAATTTTCCTTGACGCAGACGCAAGTTGTAAAATTACAAGATGAAATCGTAAAAATACATGTAGTACGTATCGACTTAAAATCCATTGGCGAGTAAATCGGGTTCAAAATTTGGGTGCAGGGGGTGACCTGCACCCCGCACCCTAGTGGTAGTTTGAGTCGAGTTTGAGGCTGGCTTCGAATTCTCTACCAGGCTGTTGTCCAGTACGGTCCAAAAATTCTATCCTGGAGTGTCTAGATTTTCCAAGCCTCCCTAAGGGTGAGAAATGTGGAAATTTTGGTCAGGGGTTGAACATTTAGGGGTCGTACAGCCCCCCAGGGGGTGCGAGTGCGAAATAGTTACTTTGCTCTTGTTGCCTACGTTAAACCACAAGATTTGCGACACGAGACACCCAAGACGTAAACCATGCCAAATTTCACGTTCCTACCTGCATCGCAGGTAATTTTAATTTCAGAGCAAAAAAAATGGACCGCTAAATGTTTTGACGAGTGTATAAAATTGTGCATAAATTTATGGCTGCTTACAATTCTGCACGTTTATGTACAATGCATAAGGATTTAGTGTGCAGTACACGTAGTCAAAGTGCTTCACCGTTACATTCCTTCCTCATGTCTAAGGAGCAAATTTTAAAGGGTCGTGCAAACTAAATTTTTATGTTTATTTTGGTGCATACGCAACGCATGTAGAGATCTGGGCATGAAGTATGAGACACACATTCATAGTTAATTTTGTAGAACTTCGTTCATAATTATGCACAGCTCTGTACAGATACAGATATCTCTAGAGTACAAGAATTTGAACATAATTCTGCTTGCGCGGATCCTTTCATAATTATGCACAAAAAAATGTATTCATAAACATTGGTGTGCAGGTCCACCCGGAAGCCAAAGTTTTGACCGCTTTGAATACTGATCAATGGTGGGGCTGAAGGCCCGACAAATGCCGCCGGCAGGTGGAGGAGGCCCGGATTCTGCCGAACGGAGTTTCCGGCAGAGCGAACCGAAGCTGAGAACTCCGTTTGGCGGAAGGGCGAGCCTACTTGTTTCTTCATCCTTACGAATTCTTGTTACTGCTGGACTTACACGCCACTGCAAGATCATGTACGACAGGCCATAGGCTCAACTATACGTTTCCGGCAAGGCTCCCTTCTTCCCATTTCGTAAATCATATTTATTTGAGAATCAATTAATATTTTAACAATTTTCAATTGCAAGAACTCGCAAGAACTCATTTTTGTAACAGCATAGGCAAACATGACTTAAGTAAAACGCATAGAATCTAATAAATCCATTGCAGCCACACTTAACATAAAGAAATTTGCCCTAAGGCTTAGTAATAAAACCCAGACGCAACTTCTTATTCATGAAAAGTTATATTTTAGGCAAGATTTTAGTGACTGTATGTGTTGTCTGAGAATATCAGGGTGACCGATTAATTTGTTACGAACATGCTTCTACGTGCTTTTTAAATTGTTAAAATATTCGTTGCGTCCCAAAGTCATGTTTTGGGTTTAAATTTCTAAGTCTACTGCCAAATGCGAGAGCAAATGTGTTAATGCTTTGGTAGTATGGCTGCAATGAGTTTATAGGGCCGTATCGATTTCAAGGGATCCTCCACTCCCCTCTACTTCCTTGAATGGTGCACTCTTGAGTATTTCAGTTGGCAGGTATTGTTGAGTTGATGTAAATAGAGAGTAATTGCGACTAAAAGATAGTAATAGCGAGTAGGGACGAGTTTTAAGCGAGTTTTGGTCTGCATGAAAGCAAACATTTTGGATTATTTTCTAGCCATTGTATGTATATATAGTCACCTCTACTCGCCAATACTCATCAATACTTACTATTACTCGGCAATACTCACCCCTACTCCCCTTTTGTCTCTGGCTCGCTCGTCAGGGATGTCATGAAAAACCCGATGCCCAACCAGCGCAGTGCCTCTAGTTAGAAGTATTGAAGAGTATCTTTGCGAGTTTTCAAGGGTATTGATGAGTTCTAAAGAGTATACGCGAGTATTTAAGAGTGCTGGCGAGTAACGACAAGTACAGGCGAGTAAATTGATAGCAAAGGCGAGTAGTCGCGTGTCATGGTGAGTTTGGCGTGTATTTTCGTTTGTGTACACGCTCGTCGATTGTTCTGTAGTAAGAGGCGATCATATTGGAAACGAAGGAGTGAAAAGCTCTCAAAAGAGACGTAGGCGTGGTCAAGACATTTCTCTCTTCTTTTTCTAAAAGGAATAATAAGAATCTGTACAATCTGATTTTGGTTTTCACATTTTCAGTTGTTGGCGTTTGAAGTTCGGAACTGAAAACACAGATGCAGTGTGTGTGCATACTGTACTGAACATTGTAGCCCTCGATGCCTCCTAACGACAAAGTTCGATCTTCAACGGCACGGTTACACAAAGTTCGATCTTCAGCGGCCCGGTTACACAAAGTCCGATGTGCAGCGGCACGGTTACACAAAGTTCGATCTGCTTTTCGCCGCTCGCGTTAGTCGCAAGTTTAGACCTCTACCACAGTCTTGTTGCGATAGCATTCAATTTTTTCTTTGGAGTATGTTGTTCTTTGATCTTTTACAAACATGAAGCAGTTTTTACTTTTTTTCTATCTGCAATATTGTCGAGAATATGAATACATTTAAGCTGCGCTGCAGAAACCGCCGGAATGTAGATCGAACTTTGTGTAACCGGGCCGCCGCAGATCGAACTTTGTGTAACCGGGCCGCTGAAGATAGAACTTTGTGTAACCGTGCCGCTGAAGATCGAACTTTGTCGTTAGGAGGCATCGCCCTGTACTACCGACGTCGGTGTGACAGGAAATTATATGTAACAGTTAGTGTTGTACCTACAGGTCATGCCTGCTGATGGATTCGTGGCGGCTCAACCGTGTGATAGTTTTGGTGTCGCTCATGCGGCCCGAGAGCCGAGGCTGGGTGCGCCTGAACGCTTCGGATCCGCACGCGGCGCCACTCGTCAAACTCAATTATTTCGGCGACGACCAGGGCCACGACCTGGACACCGTCGTAGAGGGATTGCAGTTCGCTCTCCGTCTCGAGGCGCCACTGCGAAAGACGGGACTCAGCCTTGACAAGACCAACAACCCGCAGTGCGCGTATGTTGTTGACTTTTTTTTCAAAATTTGAAAGTCAACTTTTTAGTTGTAAAGTGATAGTAGGGCAACTAGAAGTCTAAGAGGAGTGTGGTTCGTGCGGAATGTGTGATTTCAGTTTTACTTCCTTTCCAATTTGTTGATATATGAAACCTATCTTGTACGACTTACTGAATTATTTGGCTATTGTCTCTTAATTTTCGTCTAAAAACACCCTCTACGGCCAAAACGGTAGAAGTAAGGGGAAAACGGATTAAAGTTTCATGCTTGGGATCTTCTTTTACGAGTTACCTATTAGAAACCAATAAATAAATTGATATGAAGCCTTTTTTACGACTTAATGATCCATTTGGACGTTTTCCCCTAATTTTCGTTCAAAAATGCTTTTGAGGGCCTAAACGGTACAAGTAAGGGGAAAATGGATGAACTTTTAGTCCTTGGACTTTTCCTGTTGGTTCTTAAAAGAGAACTCATCCCGCCTCCTTTGTTATATCATAAAAGAGGCTTCATATCGAAAAGTTGTTAGAAGAATAAATGTAGAACCACACATTTGGCGTTGAAACACACCCTCCTAGCGGCTTTAGCTGCCTTAGAATTTACTATCAGTAAAATGTTCATCTTCACACAAGAATCCGCGGGGGCAAAAACTCCCTTTTGATATGTACAGATGATTCCTGTAATACTTGATTCCCAGTGATTCCCGTCCGCTTACATTTATTCCTTACGTGTTCTATTGGGAGAAAACGCTTATTTCGACTATTTTGTACCAGTTTCACCAGTTTCCCGCTTAGTTTAAGCGATTGCAGTTGATTTCGATCAATTTTTATCCTGCTGATTCACCGTCAGGTGTACACACGATGCCCGGAGTTCTCGCCTCCTCGCAAGAATCTGATAAAGTTAGAACTTTTGGGGCGCCAAAAAGGGTCTGATTAGCTGTCCCCTCCTGGCCAAAAAACGTTCTTTCGCCCCTGAGCTCTATGTCGGCCAGGCGCGTCGCAATATTTCGTGTCGTGAGATATCGTGAATCCCGAGACTAGGCCTGCTACGCGTGGTCTGGCGTACATATAGCTAGACTTTAACATACAGATACTGCCTGTCTTTTTCGTTTTGGCTGTTAACGTAATTTTCTTCGGTTGCCAGTCGATTCCCCATGGGCTCTGATGGCTTCTTGCGCTGCTTAGCGCGGACTAGCACGGTGACAGCGTGGCACTGGAGCGGCACCTGCCGAATGGGGCGTGCGAACGATCCAAGGTATGACACACTAGAACCTCAGGCGTACGGCGTAAAGCTTAGCACACGGTGCTACACGATACACAAGACACACCACACCTCTTTTTGAATACGAGCTCTGTCAAGTTGATGTTAATGACTCTATGGTTCTTCCGCCAATAAGGCACGGGTCAACGTCCCGTAAAAAACGGTTCGCTTATCTCAAATAATGTATCGTGCACCAAGTACCGCTGAGTCGAGTTTGCGATTTGAGATGTTGACTGTTATCTAATCTTCGCAACATTTGGTATCTGATGAAAGACCAAAACTAGGTTAGGGGGAGAACCACACTGTAAAAAATATGAAGAAAATTCTGAACCCATTGGTTCTTGAACTTTCCAGTCACCAGCAGGGTATTTTAATTCCCAACCCACTAGACTAGGCAATGCTAATCCTCGATCCAACTCGAGGTTTTCAAGTCCATTTGGAATTGTAGAATTGGAATTGTGATGTTGAAAATTCCATTCTACCTACAGAAAATTAGAAGTTGGCTTCAGTTTTATAATTTACTAAGCCACAACTTGAATCCCTATGGTACATGGAACTGGGATTTTCCAGTTTGAGCCGGTATCACACACCCACAGGGCGGAATATCCGGACCCATAAACTGTAAATGTAATTCCTAGTGCCAAAACTTGAATTTCAGACGTTCTACTGGGGCAACGCTTACATTAAGTGGGTCGTCAGCCACTCGCTCGTCAAGGAGCGCTGTGTAGCTTAGGGGTACAGAGCAGGACTGGGAACTTATAGGCCTATGTTCAACTCCACCTTGGGGCAATTTTTTTTTTATCGGTTCAAAGTGGTCGACATGAGACTAGGTGCAATCCCGATGCCACAACTTGAATTTTCAAGTTGTGGGTTTCGAAACAGAAATCCCGATGCCACAACTTGAATTTTACTAGTTGGGTGCTATATTTCCGATTACCAGCCCACTGGGTTCAGGAAAACCCGATTAAATTGGTTACGGAAATTTAACCCTCCATGGCTTAGCAATTTCCCGACTCAACGACTGAGAATCGAGCGTTTCACAGCCCAAAACTGGGATTTTCTTAATTTTTTTTTAACAGTGCAACGGGACAAATGATTGCTATCTGTGGCTGAAATACTAATACTGCGGAGGTGTTGTCGATTGCAATTTTTAAAATGATGTTACAGTACACATCTTAAACGGCAAATTCACCTACCTCAGCGGCACTTAGTACATAATATTTTAAAGATAAGCGAACCGCTTTCTTCAGGGTCATTGACCCTTGCATTATTGGCGGGATCACCCATAAACCCTGTCCTTCCAACTGTTCTTACCTTTGTGGCGCCGTAACCAGGGCTGTCGTGGACTCGCAGCTGAGGGTCCGCGGTGTCAGCGGGCTCCGCGTCGTGGACGCCTCTGTGATGCCCTACATCACCAGCGGCAACACGAACGCGCCCACCATCATGCTGGCCGAGGTCGCTGCAGATCTCATCAAGCGTGCACAGTCGTAAGGGTGTACCCTTGTAAAATAAAGCTAACCATACCAACATATGGGCTTAAAACGAGAGGTCCCTAACTTGGTCAAGTCATTGTACACTTACACTGTAAAAAAAATTGTTGTCACTTAACAACAAATTTATTGTCAAGTTTTTAAGTGACTCGTGTTGTTGTACAACAGCTGCGTTTGTCAAATAACAGCAAAAGTTGTCCAGTAACAGTAATAAAAAAAGTCAGCAAAAACAAAATGGTGCCCAATAGTTCAATATCAACAATGCATTGACAACAAACGAAGTTGTTTTTCAACAACTTCTGTTGTTCTCGAACAACTGAGCTGTTGGTTAACAGCTGAGCTGTTTTTTAACAACTAATTTTTACAGTGTGGCAAAATAATCAAACTATTACCATTCCCAATCATTCCCAATCATTCCACTGTATACAGTCACTCTAATCTTTTCAATCACCTCAAGTCACTTACAGTCATCCAGTCTTATTCATACTACTGAAGCATCCCTAGTAACTTCTATTGTCTCTGGCAGTCACGTTCGTAGTCGCCTCCAGACGCTTCCAGCGGTATTTTACAGTCGCACCAATATTTTACAATTAGCTACAGTCATTCCTATTTCCAGTCTGTGTACGCGTTTTTAGTGAATTGGGTACCCTTCGGCTGAAAATTAAAAAAATACAGTGGGCGTTCAAGCTTGAGGCCGTTCCTGGATCGAAATACAACGCTATCCTACCCTTTTGAAGACTAAATCGGATATCTGAACACATCACAAAATGATGTCATGCAGAATCCTCCTGCAAATCTTTAAGAGAATCTGGTAAGTCCTTGTTGGGTTCATACACACCCACTTGCAAAAAATAAAAATACTAAACTAAAAGCACTTGCAAAATATAAGTACAGATTACTTATTAAATATTTTAATTGTACTATTACCTTACCTAACGCAACAGGAGACAGACTCCTTGGTCTGCTTTGCGAGCTTGGAAAGCATGCCTCCCTGCGTTTGAGTAAAGCAGCAAACTGCACAAAGAGTTATGAAAGATAAAACATTAGAACATTAAATATAGAACATTAACATTGTTAAGAAAAATATGTAACCACTCCTTAGAAGTAGTAAAACGTAATCCTACAGGACACTTAAATCTGAACTAATGGTTTTTAAAGCAATTGAGTCCTTGTTGAGAACACACTTGCATTTCCAGTGCATCCACTCTCACCTGTGCAGCAATTAAGATGACCAAATTAAAAACATTTTCAACTACTGTACATTGTTTATATCTTTAAAAACAAAATTGAAATTAACTCAGCTGACTATTTTAGCACTTCTGACCCTGCAGTGCAATTCGAGCCAGTTACTGTGCTTTTGGAATAGGAAGCTTGCTTCTGGATGCACCAAACTAAACAAGCAGGCCCGCCCTTCCGCCAAACGAAGGTGCCAGCTCCGCTTCGGTCCGCCGGCAGATCCGTTCAGCAGCGGCCAGGCCTGCTTGGCCTGGTCGGGCAGCAGGCCCGACCATTTCTGTCACGTGATTTGCTGATGAACATGATCGAATGATGTAGCGGGCCTTCGGCCAGTCGTCTTTGAGTTCGCCCCAAAGAGTCGAGGAAGGGATGTAACGGTGAAGCACCGCGACTACAACCCACCCTTCTGCTTAGAAAAGGTTTTTTGGGGGTGGGGGGAGAGTTTCCTTTCTATTTTGCGGTTTTCAGGCTCTTTTCTACAACTTATTGCTCACTATGGCAATTTTTAGCTTATTTTCGTCAAAAAAGAACCTCTAGCGCCTAAACAGTTAGAGATAGAGCGAAACGGGCTAAATTTTCGTCCAAAGGCAACTACTGTGACGAGATACCCATCAGGAGCACATAAAAAAACTACTTTTTGGCAGAATTTTTGAACCTTGGATACCCCCATTCGCACCCTGCTTAGGGGTGGTTGCCAGGATTTGCTGTAGGCGTTTCCTTCTCTAGGAGTGGACCTTAAGATATCCTGAAAATATTAAGTCTCTAGCACATCTCCTTCTAGTGGAACAGACAGACAGACGCACACGAGGTCGTTTGCATAAGCCCGCTGGAAAGCTTTTTCAAAGCAGAAGGGCGGGCTAAAAAACAACAGAAAACACAATTTCAAATTATTTTCAAAATCTTCACACTTTATTATGAAGGTCAAATGTAAGTAATTACCTGCATAAATGTACCAAAAGGGGATTTCGTAGCAGACTTATTTGAAAAGAAATCTAATTGAGGGCGTGTCCCACTTGACTGTCAACTCGGAGGCTTCAAACCAAAATTCGGATTTTCACTTGGTTCAAAATCCCCAAGTGCAATACACAGTCCAAAGATTCTAATTCTGGTCAAGTTTTCAAAACATAACCGGTTCCCGAATCGTCACAGCCGTCAGAAGTCGAAAATCGCAAAAAACCAAATAGTATATCAATAAAACGCACTTTTTCAACTAGCAAAACGACGTTAAAAGCATAGTTTTGAACCAGATTTTCGATAGCGGTTGTTTTAAACGACCCTTCCTGTGGGAGGGGAATGAACCTGTTCTAATATTTCTACCCTAAAATGTCAACGGAAAATGTGTTGTAACGAAATGTCAGTCCGTGACAAGAAAAATGGATTTATTTGTCTAGAGAGCACACCGCAGTATCGAGCAAAAATTCCTTCCGCATCCTACGTTGGCACACTATTAGAAAAAAAAAATCATTTGATTTTTTTTTTTTCGCTGCACCGATAGTTTAGGAGTTTCACGCCGTCACGGACTGACATTTTTCACCAAATCGTGCTTCGTCACGGACTGACCGCGATTTGAATTTCGAGCTACTGTTCCGCGCTTTCGTGTCCGCACGGAAAAAAATGAAAAAAATGGTTGGCTGTGGCAACCGAAAGTCGATCGCCACGACCATTTCTATCGATAGATACCAGCAGTATCGACTTTGTGATTGTGACAACCAAGCGGCATAGCTGCAGCAGGTTAGTTGCGACAACCGGCGGGTTGATCGTGGCGATCAGAACCGCTAATAGCACGAATCGAACTTTACTTGGTTGCAGGGAGTAGGTCTGTTTTACACCTCGTGGCTGCAGCTAAAAAGTTGATCGCCGTGATCGATTTGTCGTCTTGAAGGACACACTAAACGGGCGTCAATTGTTTAGTCTAATTTTTGACTAGAAATTAATGTTGAAGTTTGAGATCAAGATCCTGCGATCCACTGAGGTCCGGCAGATATCAAAAATCGACAAGCCTCATCGCCCGCCCCTAGACGTTTATTTGTCAGACCCTTTTTTTTGAAGTGCCGTGGAGATGTCACTCGGGACACCCACCAATGGAGGCGACCGAAGGCCTCACCGCGAGTTAACAGAGATATAAGCGTGTCTTTGCAAATAATCGTTAACTAATGGTTTTCAATGATCGAAATATAATTTCAAATGGTTGTTAAGGGACCCCCATCTCCGCTAAATGGCCGGCCGAAGGATGAAGCCTCAGTGCTGTTTGTGTTATTTAGCTTCAAAGCTGTTGAACAGTAATCAGAGAACAGTCAGAATCCACGCCAGCAGTGTATGGCGGTGAGCAGTGGTGTCAGTCAGGGTAGTAGAGCTTAGCGCAGCTATGAGAGGCGCAGCTATGCAAGTGGCGACTGTAGACGGCGCCGGGTAGTTGCCACGAACAAGCCACTCGCATGGGCACAGCCAAGCCAGGATGTAAGGTGGAGTTTGATTGTAGCGACCGAGCAGACCCTACGAAGCGAGTTGTAACACGAGAGGGAACCCAGCCGGCTGCCACAACCAAGCGGTTCGATGCCTACAACCAATTCAGTTTCAACCAGTACAATCTGGTCACCACGACCAAGCCTTTTTTTCCGTGCGGATTTCGCTTTTCGTGAGGCTCTGGGTTGTCCAGACCGAGAGGCAGCCGCACGCGCTCTCGCCTACTTTAGCACTTGGGACGCATACCTTGTGCAAAATATAGACAGTACAGGTTTTACATCTTTTAGTTCTTGGTCCGATAAATCCCGGCCAAGTCTTGTCTGCAAATTTTGAATGCAATAGTCCTGCACATGGTTTGTTTGCACATCTCGACTCTCCCCGGCCTTTTCCCGTAATTTAGTAACCAAATGAAGACGTGTGAAGGAAAGTCTCATGTTCACCCTAAAATCAAATATATCAATAATCTCACTTTAGCTGAGTTCCGAAAAATAAAAATTATAGAACCCACAAATAACACCGTGTAAAACTCACCAGTTTTGTTTTCTAATTGAGAAATAAGAAGAAGTAAATTCTTATAGTAAACCAACAGTAATAGTAGCGAAAGAAGCCGACTAGCAAAGTGAGGTTAGGTTATTGACAGTAGCGCCGTCGTCGCGCCCGGTGAGCAGAAGACAGTACCACGTACTCTCTAAGTCATGTTTTTGTTTCGTACCACCGAATCGCGTTGAATCGCGTTCTAGCGCGTTAACCAACAATAGTGTAAGGTCTAACGGATTTTTTGAGCACACGGAGAGCTTTGATCACGGATGATTACGTCTTATAACGCCAAAAAACCAGTCTGTGGGGGTACCTATTTTAAATCGATATTTAAACGTTTCTAGGAGATGGCATGCATCGTTAGCAAGCTGTACTGCAAGAAAAGAGCCTACAGAATAAAGTAAAATTCATTTGATCGATGTACAGTTGCGGGAAAACGATCAAAACGGTTCGCCCAGCAAGCGCATGAGATGAGCCGGGGAAGTTCCTCTACTTCAAATCGTCGTTTAGGGGGGTAAAAAGTTGAACTTGAAAGAATAATTATCGGTTCGACATTCTCCAAACGTTCCTAAGTCAGGACCAACTTGGTTTTTCTGCATAGGAACCATTTTACAGAACAGGGTTTTGGCAAAGAATACCGAGATCCGGCCCATTGTGCTCCTCTGCGTTCTCTCAAACCACGAAGGCAAACATGCGAAGGGTTCAAAGATTCTCGTTGAAAGAAAGTCCTGCACCAGCCCGAGCAGCCATTCGGTCCCCCTCCCCTCCCCAGGCGCAACTCGGGCGATCCATTTCTGAGAACCTGCCAAACACCCTG